CACACACACACACACACACACACACACACACACACACACACACACACTTTAAAAATTAAAATGAGCAAAGCAGAAATTTCTTAAAGCAAAAAAATCTGGATCTTTGAAGAAAAATAAGTTATTTCACCCAGCTTATTCTAGATAAAGACAAAACTATAAATATACAAAAGCAGAAATGAAAAGCTAGAGATTGAAACAACTAGAGGAGTTAAAGTCACCAGAACCTTTTCCACACAGTCACAGAGGGAAGTGGAATCTGATCAATTTAGTATGAACCTTGCTCTGAAGTTCAGAAAATGCAGTTTTATGTTCATTCCCAAGGCTAGGGTCTACTTAGTCTATTTTGCTCACAATTTTATTTGCAAATAAAATAGTAATTCAACAGTCATTTCCCTCTCTTGATTTTGTCATCTGACTACCTAATCTCTTGCTTTATTCTGGTAACATTTAGTAAGAAAATAAGTATAAAATGTGAGTGACATCATGGCAGATATGTGAGTAAACCAGCAAGAAAATCTTTTTTGATAGCTCTTATTTTATTGAGATAGCAGTTTCATTACATGTGGTCCAGGAACATTCAAATGGGAGCTTAAACAAAATCAGATATAAAAGACCAATCGCCAACTATAGCAGCCAATGACATCACATTTGCTGATGATACCTCAGTGGCCACAGAGCCATTCAGCATGGCTTCTTTAGCGGTGAGTTCTTGGAAACCCCCAATCAGCACTTGGGATTTTTCTTCACCATCTGAGAGTTGTAAGAAGCTTAGCTGGAGTTGGAGACCAACTTATCCTTGGTACAGAGCCAAAATGTGGCTGACTGAGGCTTGGATTAGGTCACCGCAGCATTCAGCAGTGCCAGGGTTTTCTCTGTGAGCTTACGGATAAACTGTGCCATGGTCTAAGGCGGATATGGGGAAAACGTGACATATTTATAATTCTTATTGGTACTAATAAGCTCCAGTAAATTACTTTTACATTGTTAAATATATTGTTAAATATTATAACCTATTAGGCATACAGATTTGTAGAATAAATGTGCCATTAGAGAGTGATTAGGTGATAAATTGGAAAATACAGAGAGAGAGAGAGAGAGAGAGAGAAAGAGAGAGAGAGAGAGAGGCTGAAGAATAGTTGGGAAATATCTCAATTGCCAATGTTATTATACAATAACAAAATATTCATAGAAATGTCTATATAAGCATAATATGTACATATTCCTCGCCTCACATATATGTGAACCTAATTCATCTTTTTCTTTTTACAGATGTCAACTAATTTTCCATTGAAACAGTGTGATGAGATATATAATATACTTACATTTTGTTTTAAAAAAGGATTCCTCCTAAATTTACTCTGTTACAAACCCCTGCTTCGTAACATTCTCTGTGTTCGAGTTGTTGAAAATAAAACAGCATCTTAAAAACCTTTCATGGAATGTTTCAGTGATTAATCATGCACAGCAAAGCCTCTGTTAAAGATGCTCCGTAGGTCCTGTAGCTCTCGATAATGTTGACACACATACATTTTAGGTGTTTACGTAAGACACTCGCTCATAGAGAGTTGGATGAACGATTTTAGGTTTTCCAGATTGGATTACGTCAGTGATGAAGTCATAAGGTCCGATTGCAGATTCTCATAATGGTCCATGTCTGTAATTGCAGCCTTTGGGATGCTAAGGCAAGACAGGGGCAAGTTTAAGGCTAGCCTGGGCTATGCAACAAGGCTCTATCTAAAAAAATAAATAAAATAAAATAAAATAAAACAAAAGCAAACGAAACAACAACAAAATAGAGCACTAGCTATGTTAGAGTACCAATGGGAATTACTCAAGTTATGACTTAGTCAATATTCTAGTAAGCAAGCTATGATTTATATATTACAAAGTAGATTTCAGATTGCTACAAATCAGAAGGCTTTCCCTGGCCAAGTGACAGTAATTAGTTTCTCTGAGATTGTTTCCCCTTGAAACCAGTGAAGGACATCCAACCTTCTATCATTACCAGGAAAAAAAACCCAGCTTTTCCAGGAGTTGATGATAACCATACTCGTGGAATTTAAATAACATGTTTTGTGAAGAAAGCTCCTGAATTATTCTTCCTACCAAGCGCTAGGAAAGAAATAAATTAAGAGGAAACTGAGAGGAAAAACCATCACATTCTTCCTTTAAAAGCAAATTGCTTTGGCAGGGTGAACCTTAGTGCAGTGAGGGTCCTCTACACTAAAGCCATGAATGCATGGGGCAGCATTAGCTGTCTGTACACCGTAGTTCTATTAACTTGGATTTTAAAATCATTTCTTTTTTTAAATATTTATTTATTTATTATGTATACAATATTATGTCTGTGTGTCTGCCTGCACAGAAGAGGGCATCAGATCTCATTCCAGATGGTTGTGAGCCACCATGTGGTTGCTGGGAATTGAACTCAGGACCTTTGGAAGAGCAGCCAGTGCTCTTAACCGCTGAGCTGTCTCTCCAGCCCTTTAAAATCATTTCTTTTGTTAACATACATCATATTGAAAGACCCCCCGATATCAGGGAGACTCTTACTCAAGCCTCGGGATAACACGACGCCCCCCCCAGTAACTCATGAGAGACCCTCCTTGCTGGAATCACACGAGGTTTAATGACAAGACGACAAGATGGGAACCAGTGCACTGGGGCCGAGACTCATAACCTATGCAGGGGAAGAGTTCGACCTCGAGTGACCTGGAGAAGTAGTTTTTATAGGAAGAAACCAGACAGCCCAGTAATCCGAAAGGGGGGCAGGGAGGGTGTCACAGAAAATTCCGAAAATTCCAGTGATGATTACAAGGGGGCAACTCCCTGCCTCTCAAGATCATTCTCAAGGTCATTTCCTATTCTAAAAGTACCAATGATAATTACTAGGAGGTGATAATTACTAGGGGGAATCTCCCTGTTTCTCAAGATTACTCTCAAGATTACAATCTACCTTTATCTTCAGCTAGTTCCTGAAACCCTGAAATTGGCTAATCCTAGATTTCTGATTCTTCTCTTCCTGCTAGATTTTTGGCTCTGTTTTCCTGCTAGGGGGATCTGGATTTATCCAGGTCTTTCAATATATTGTGGTATTTTAATACATATTTATAGTTGTCCTTACTCATATTTACCCCTCACTGTTCTTGCTACCCCTCTTGGTTCCCTCCTCCCTGCCAAGGAATCCCTCTTCTGATTCCATATCGTATATCCATATCCATACATTACATATGAGAAAAAAACATGCACTATTTTGTCTTTTTGGCCCTCCCCCTACCTTCTTTGATCAAAATAAGGAAAGGGGGCTTGAATATTTGGCAGGAAGGTCCCTTAAAAGTCCAGGTAGATATAAATTGCTTGTGTATTTTAAGGAGCTTCACGTAAAAGTGAGGAAGAGTGAAAAGCAGAAATACCAGGACATGGTTACTGATATTTCCACTTACCAGTGTGTCATACACAAACACTAGAGGGTGCTTGGGGAGTAGAAGCCATAGTAGAATCTATATTGATTATTAGAATCTATATTAATCTGCACTGATCACTGTAGGTGAATGGCTCCACTGATGAACTCAAGTTTAAAATTGTGTCATTAACTACATTTTTTTGCTTTTAAAAAAATTCTCTTGAGTATATCTCTGGGACCATGAGCATAAATTTATGTGGTGGCGCACGCCTTTAATCCCAGCACTTGGGAGGCAGAGGCAGGTGGATCTCTGTGAGTTTGAGGCCAGCCTGGTCTACAAGAGCTAGTTTCAGGACAGGCTCCAAAGCTACAGAGAAACCCTGTCTCAAAAGAACCAAAAACAAAACAAAAAAACTCCTTTCCCTAATGTAAACAGATTATGTCTCCTACCTAAACCAGAGCTCCTAAAGGGAGTGGGGTTCTTTTTCTAGTGATTTTTGTTCTGTATTGATTTTGTTTTGCGACAATATATAGCCCAGGTTGATCCCCCAGCTTCCATGCTCCTTTCCCATCTACCCACGGGCTTGTGGTACCAGGTGAACTTATAGTCTCATTGAGAAGCTGATGGAAAATTTTGGTCCAAGTTTAAAAAAAAATAAAAATTAAAAAAGACAGACACAAAAAATTACACTCACAACTTAGGGGAAGTGCCTAGATACTCCTTAAAATCTATCTTCAGACAGACGATGGACACAGTTTAAGAACCCCTCGGAAGGGTTCACCTCCCAAGGAATTTTTTTTTTCTCTCCATGAATACTGGATTCAACCTTGAGGAGCAGTGGACGTGACAGTGGTAGAGGTTGGCTTGAATAGCAATAAGAACACCATTACGTGACCAACAGGCATCCCACAGCTCGAGCTAGAGCCCCCTCCCCCTAGACTTGATGAATCAGGGCTCACACACCTGGGACCTGGGCCTCTGTGTTGCCTGGCAACTGAGCTTACCGTTGCACATGCGCAGTAGGTTCTGTTACTCTCGCCCCGACCCTAGGGCGTTAGAAACTGCTAGCCAGAGCTGACTGGCTACCTATGCCAGTCTGGAGGAAGTCCGAGACCTTGAGCCCTAGTGAGGGGCATAAAAGAACATCATGCAGGTGAGGGTCAGGTCTGTGGGTGACCTTGGAGTCCTGAGTGGAATAAGCCGGCTAGTTCCAAGCTGAGGGGCGTGAATGGAGTGGTGTGGGCCATCCCGGGGTTACGTTCTATTAAGTGCTGTTTTGTGCATCTCCTGTCTAGTTTTAAGAGAACTCCAGTTTTCAATATTCATGACTCCCATGTGAGGCTGAAGGAGACACTCAATTTTCAGTATTGCCTTTTACCTCCGAGTCCTGGAAATCCAAATGCTGTGATATTTTTGAATTAAGGAGTAGCATTGGCCCAAGTGGATTCAGTTTAACTGTCCTCTGTTTACTTACTTTTAAAAGGAGGTAGGGGAGTGCACCCATTGGCCTGTAAGATGGCTCAGTGGATTAAGGTGCTTGCTGCCAAGCCTGAATACCTGAGTTCGATCCCTGGGATCCACACGGTGGGAAGTGAGACCCAACTCCTGCTGGTTGTCTTCTCTCACACATACACACACACACACACACACACACACACACACACACACACACAGAGAGAGAGAGAGAGAGAGAGAGAGAGAGAGAGAGAGAGAGAGGGAGAGAGAGAGAGAGAGAGAGAGAGAGAGAGAGAGAGAGAGATTTAAATTTGTAAATAGAGAAAGTTAAATTATAGCTATACATTTCAAGACTTTGGGTCTCGGTAATTTCACAAGGTGGTGGGTTTTTTTATTTGCGAGTTCTTTATAATAAATTTTAATTTAGTTAAAGAGCATCCTCCTTTGTTCTCTCCCTCCCTCCCTTGCTCCTTCCCTTTTCTCCTTTCTCAGAAAAATCCGCACTTTCTGATGTAAAAAAGCCTTCTTGTACTTGCTCCCCAGTGAAGTCCATTGGGATTTTCTTGGTTTATCATACTTACTTTGGGCAGTTTTGTGGAACATACAATTTATTAAGCTATTTTAAGGATAATTTGTCTGTAATCAAATCCTTTCACGTTAGACGGTTGTTAGTAAGTGTATTTGTACCATTAGCCTGTCTCTGCAGTCTGTCCCGCTCTGCAGTCTGTCTGTCCGGCTCTGCGGTCTGTCTGTCCCGCTCTGCAGTCTGTCTGTCCCGCCCTGCAGTCTGTCTGTCTGTCCCACTCTGCTGTCTGTCTGTCCTGCTCTGCAGTCTGTCTGTCCCGCTCTGCAGCATTGGCTTTTCAGGAATTCCACTGAAGTGAAACCAACAGAAAACAGCAGCACATTGACCTCTCTTTGCCCTTACTGTTGTTTTCCGCTGATTTATTCAACAGCCAGTTCTTAGACTTTAAACATGGACCTGTCCTATAAGAGCATATCTGAGAGAATAATAAAGGTAACCACACCACGGCAAAACACTAATACCATTTGTGGAAAGAGATTGCGGCCCCTATTTCTGTTAGATACCATTTCATACATAATTGTCAAAGTCACGGGAAGGGACAGTCGAACATTTACATTAAGTAGCATTGCAATGAAGTCCTGGGTGAGTTAAATAAGAACAATTGAGAAGTTTGACTGATTATATAAGAATATATTATTGTGTCTCTTGAGAAGAGTGTTTATCAAGAAAAACTCAAGTCAGATTCAGTTCGGTGTATAAGGACTGTTCTTTGAAATCAACAACACACAACTTGTAGGTAACCCAAGAGAGCGAGCCAAAGAAATATCCAATGCAACAGCCAAGAATTGGCTACGATTCCTATTCTTTCCAGTCATCTATTTTAAGAAGTTTAGCAATGCTAAAGGAAAGAAAGCACCAAGGGACTGTGAAGTGCAGAGAGTGTTCTATAAGCGTGATATGGCTCTGGGCATGAAAGCGCTTCGCTGGCTGACCCCAGTGATGCAGGGCTCACGACCTGAGAGAGATCCCAAGACCCATAGAAAGATAATGTACTCCACATGTATGTCACGGGACATGTGATCCACACAGCTGAGAGACAGAGAGAGACAGAGACTGAGAACAAAATTTCAAGAAAAAATATAATTACTAGAACTGGTAGTAACATCTGGCTACATTACAATCCAGTTCTCCTACTGAATAAAAATAGAAACATCAGGAGTGGGAACTGCAGATGAAACTTCTAGAATGTCTTCTAAGAGAATCAAGTGAACCCCTGAGAGTGTCGGAGAGGTGACGTGCTAGGAAAATGGAAACCAGGAGAAACGATGGTAGGAGACCAGAGGTTTTCACCCCAAACCTCTCGGGCATGAGAAGTATTTTCAGCAAATACAAGAGAAGCTCTGAAAACAGAGAAATCATTCTTTTGAAGGAGAAATTGACATCCAAAAAGAAATCTCCAACTTGAGGAATCAGTTTTCGTGTGTGTAGAACAGAAAGCTGATTCAAATTCACAATGGGATGTTACCTGTAAAGAGGATCCCGGCATAGACAGGTGTGAACCAAGTGCCCCTGCTTTGTAGCCTCCCCTAGAACTCGCCTCCTTGGCAACTTTCTCTGTTTCAGCTGAACATAGTAAGTAAACTTGGGTTTGAGACCACCGTTTGGTATTTCCTCATTCCCTATTGCAAAATACATATTAACAACCGTCTGTTTGTCTGTACTATATTCCAGAAGTTCCTCCGTGCTACGAACTCAGACGGGTGTGTGTTGGAGCAGTAAATCCCCCACCCACCCTGTTTTTCAATCTCCAAAGCCAATTTTAGCATGAAAGTGATACAATTTGCATTTTGTTCTTGGGTACAATTGCACAGGGACTAAGAACTAAAGAGTATGGTGTGCCCAAGGGTGGGAGACAACCAGGAGGGAGAGTAGGACCACTGCCTAGAGAAATTCAGGGACGGTCACCTTGTGCTTAGTGGTCAGGAATCCAACCTGCCCCTCAGGCAGTCTTGGCCCATGGCAGCTTTCCCACGAATTCACAACAACATTGTTGTAGAGGAAGACTTTCTTGTGTTCGGTCTTAACAAATTGCCACAGTGAAATTTCCAAGAGAGCAAGCAGAAGCCAAGCAACAGTGTAGAGCTCACAAAGAACAAGGGCGACACAATCCTAACCAGTGAAACAACCTGCAGAGAGTTCCGGTGTTAGAATGGACAGAAGCCAGTTATGAAAACAATTGTGCTTATTGTATTCCAAAAATGTCTACAGGAAGTAGTTGAAGACCATAAAATTTTACAAAGATATGTCTATGTACTAACAATAAAAAACTTCCATTTATCATAACATCAGAAAAATAGAACACAAAGGATTAAACTAATGAAGTCGAAGACTTACATGAACAGAACTATAAAACAGTGCTGGGAAGTATTGGAGACGACAGAAAGTGGAAATATCCAAATATCCCATATTTATGCATGGGGACACGGACTGTTTCCTGGGTTTGAAGCTTGGAAACAAATACTTGCCTTCATTAAGAGGAAAAGGTATACAATTAGTTAAAGAAGAGTAATGAGTTTGTTAATAACTTGGAATAAAATAGAAATGATATATATTCACAATCTGTCTCTGCCCCACCTGTCATAATGCTACGAGATAATATAAAAGCTAAGAAATAAATATCGACATGTAGACTCAGTTGTGTGTCTGAGTCACAGTGGCTGTTCTCCTGGGAGATGTCTTTCTCTGGCCCTTGGGCTCCCTGGGTTCCCCCCTTTTGTTCCTATCATGTTGTCTTCTTCAGGAATCCAATTGCAGGATCCTTGTTAGATCACAGATGTCAAAAGATCAATACTACTTCCAGAAATCTATAGATTCAATTTGTTTTGTCAATTTCTTGAAATTATTTTTGCAGGAACAGAAAAATACACCTTAGACTATACGTGAAATCTCAAGGGTCCTCAAGGTAGCCTCAAAAAGAGTAAGAACACTGGAGAGCCCTGAAAGGATGATAAGGCTGGGTGTGCGTCAGCATGACTGTGCTTCGTTAGGTTCTGCTCTTTGTTTGTAAATGCCCAAAATGGTTGTCTTCATAGTATGTATTTTTTCCAAGTAAAAAATGCTGATATTCAGGCATGGTGACTGGTAGGCCAGCTCAGGTGGTAGAGTGAGTCTCTGTCTGTCTGTCTGTCTATATATGGTGGTCAAAAACCTGAATAGACAGCATGGGCTTAGGGGAAAACCAAAGCTGTTGTTCTGCTAAAGGAACATAGCAGCAAAATGACTCCTGACAACGTTCTGCTAGACTCATAGATCCGTGTCTTGCTCAGTCATTATCAGAGAAGCTTCCTCTTGCCTCAATGGGAACAAACGCAGAGACACAGAACTGGACAATGTGCAGAGAGTGGGAGACCTTGAAATACTCAGTACTAAGTAGAATGTCTTCATCAAACCATCCCTTCATGGTTCTGGGAAGAGGAGACGGACAGATTATAAAAGCCAGAGGTAATGGAAGATACCAAGGAGATAGTGTCTTCCAGACACAGCAGGACTGATGGACATATGAACGCACAGAATCTGTGGCAGCATGCACACGGTCTGCATGGGTCCAAGCCAGAAGGGGTTCCATTGCTGAGAAGAGGAGCTCCCATCCCTAACTAATCCATTGGTGTCTCAGTGGGTATATGAGACACACTGAAAGGCAGGCCCTATTCCCAGTAGTGGATAATCAACACAAAACAAACTCAGTGAAATTTTGGAGATGATTTTGTCTCATATTGCTTTGTTCAGGCCTTTCTAAAAAACCTTATTGGTCTTTTGCTGATATATTATGATTCCTGATTTTGTAGTTTTTATGGGTTTTATTTTTGTGTATTTGTTTCTTTTTCTCATACTTTTAATTCTGGTTTTGTTGCTTGCTTATTTGTTTTCTAAAGATGTGACATTGGATGGGTTGGAGGAATCTGAAAGGATTTGAGGGAGAGGAACCCATAACCATAATATATTGTATGAAAGAAACAATAACTTCCAATTAAAAAATAAAAAGTAAGGGGCTGGAGAGATGGCTCAGTGGTTAAGAGCACCTACAGCTCTTCCACCTACAGCATTCTGGGTTTGGTTCCCAGAATGCCTATCAGGAGGCTCACAACCACGTGTGACTCCAGCTTCAGGGAATCTAATGGCTCTGTGCCTGTGAGCATCACATGCAGATGCTGCACATAGATTCACAAGGCACATACACACAAATTAAAATAATCGATCTTGAAGCCAAAAGATAAAATGACTTTAGCACACTCTGCGTAGGTCCACAAGCTCTACTCAGGTTGTGTCCTCTGGATTGAAACTTGGGTGCCTCTCATTCTTCTGTCATGGACCCCAACACCAGACTCATTAAAAACATGGCACTCATTGAAAGCATTGCCCATCAGAAATTCGTGCAAAAATGATCCTGAGAGGCAAAAGATACGCATATTATGGGTAAAAAAACAATATTTTCTTCAAAAACTATGAAATTGAGAAAAACTGATAGGACCTTGATACATGTCATTTATTCTCTGTATTTTTAGTGTCTGAAAAACTCTAAATGGATAATTTGAAAAGCCACGGAGAAAAGAAATGTTACACACTGGGGAATGACTAATTTCCCAGCTCATGTAGGACTGTAAACTGTAAGGTGAAATAAATTCTTTCCTTCCCAAGTTGCTTGTGATCCTCATGCTTATCATATCAATAGAAACCTAATTAGGACAGAAAACATGTATGTATGTGCACTGTGTGGATGCCAGTGCCCCTGATAGTCAGAATAGAACACTAAATCCTTTGCAACTGGAGTTAGAGATGGTTGTGAGCCAACATGTGGGTGCTTGGACCCTTACCTAGGTCCTCTGCAGGAGCAACAAGTGTACTTAAATGCTAAACTGTGTCTTCAGCTCCATTTTCTGAAATTTTAAGCTGGTATTTAATAAATAATAATTTCTAACATGTCAGAAAAGCATCATTGCTTTTGACATTGAACTAAAACATTTTTGCAATAAAATAATAAAACTCATAAAAAGTCAAGTAGAACTTGTGAAAACTAAAATTATCGATGAATGAGCTTTTTATTTTTAATGTCAGTAAAATAGGAATAAAAAATATTAAGAAGGGGTGGAGGAATATTTGGAGAGAAATTTTCTGCTGTGGGATAATCTTTTTGTACACTGTGAAGATGTATCTGTTTTACCTCCTCTGTCTAAGGTACCTTTTGATTAGTTTAATAAAGAGCTGAACAGCCAAAAGCTAGGCAGGAGAGGATAGGCAGGACTTCCGGGAAGAGATAGGAACTCTAAGAAAAACCTGAGAGGCAGGGATTTGCAAGTGAGACTCAAAGGAAATTGGATGTAAAGTGCTGAGGAAAGGTAATGAGCCACTTGGCAGAAAAAGATTAAGATGAATGGATTAATTTAAGGTATAAGAGCTAGTTAGGAACAAGCCTAAGCTTCGGTCAAATGCTCATACTTAATAAGGAACCTCCATATCATTATTGGGGAGCTGGTGGTCCAAAGAACGACTTGCTACAAATTTCTAGAATTGTTAAAAGATACCATTCCACAACTGCAGAACTCCCAGTGAGCCCATACAAGACTAGTGAGATGCAGACCTGGTGGGGAGCAGTAGACAAAATCTTACAATTCTTGAATCTGTACACCTCAAAATAGAAATCAGTTCACCTGATAGTCTGGAACACAGACAACACACATTTGGACATTAAGCAATGTGGGTTCACTGTATAGTCATCAGTATATTTTGTGTGACTTTCAAGTTTACTTTCTTCATATTTTACATCCATGGTCTAATTAATTTTAGAATTTATTTATTATTGTTGTATTATACTGTGTACATGATGTGGGTGGGCACATTACCACAGTGGAGGTCAGAGGGCAACCCTATGCAGTGAGTTCTCTCTTTCTACCTTTATGCAAGGTCTGGATCCTGACTCAGGTCACCAGGCTTGTGTGACAGTGCCTTTATGTTGGAGGGAGAAGCTGCTTGTTTGGTTCCTGGCCACTTACCCCCAAAATAACCACACAGAAACTGTATTATTTAAATCACTACTTGGCCCATTAGTTCAAGCTTCTTTGGTATAGGAGGTCCTTCTGTATTTGTGTGCTTTCATTGGTTGAATAAAGAAACTGCCTTGACCTGTTGATAGGGCAGCAATTAGGTAGGCAGAGTAGACAGAACTAGATACTGGGAAGAAGGGCAGACAGAAAGTCACCATGGAGCCAACCACCAGGTAAGACATGCTGAATCTTTCCTGGTAAGTCACGACCTCGTGGTGAAATACAGATTATTAAAAATCAGTTAAATCAAGATGTGAGAGTTAGCCAAGAAGAAGCTAGAAATAATGGGCCAGGCAGTGATTTAATTAATACAATTTCTATGTGGTTATTTTGGGGGTTAAGCTAGCCAGGCGGCGGGACATGGCCCACTCCACCTACTACACTTCTCATTGGCTAACTCTTACATATTAATTTAACCCATTTCTATTAATCTGTGTATTGCCACATGGCTGTGGCTTAGCAGCTAAAGTTCCAGTGTCTGTCTCCAGCAGGGCTACATGACTTCTCCCTGACTCAGTCCTTCTTTCTCCCAGCATACAGCCTAGCTTTTTCCACCTAGTTCTGTTCTGCCCTTGCCATAGACTCAAAGCAGTTCTTTATTCATTAACCAATCAAAGCAATACATAGACAGAAGGACCTCCCACACCATTTCCCCTTTTCTGTTTAAACAAAAAGGAAGGCTTTGACTTTAACATAGTAAAATTACATATAACAAAACAGGTATCAAGCAAGAATTACAGTTATAATATTTATATTTACTTTGTGTTTTATCATAACTAAGGAAAACTATTCTTCAACTCCATCAAAAACTCCAGAAGGATATAATATTACCTAAGTAAGGAGAAAATGATTTGTAAGCAACTTTCAAAATTCTAGAATTGACAGAGAAATCTCACTGCCTGGACAGTCACCCAAAGTTCTTTTGTACCATTAAGGCATCCATCTTCAGCCTACAGTATCTCAGTGCCACATTTTTCTGTGTCCTGCAAACTGTCATGCAGACTCTTTCATGAAGCAGGAACCACGAAGGATCATCTCACCTTTAGGCAAGCTTAGCAGTCATTTCTCTGCAGGTCCTGCATGTCCAGTTCACTGGCAGTTTGTCAAGCAGTCTAGGCAATAGCAGTTTCTTGCCAAATGGTCAACCGATTCCATGAGGAGCCTCTTCAATGCCCATCATCCTCTTGAAGTAGCTTGGTGCTGCCTGGAGCAGATGTATCTCACTGTCATGAAAAGTCTTAAGTTCTTAAACTTTTAAAATGACATACTTTGAAAATCTCTGAAATACTTAAAGAATACCTATCTATCTGAAATATATCTCTATACATCTAGAAAATCTAACTAACATGACTACAATCTTGACTATTATAGATGATTATCTATTAACCTATATTTCTTAATTATACATTACATTTTAAAATGAGCTGCACAAACAATACCTTAATCAAGAGCAGAAATATACATATAGCAAAATTGACCTTAAATTTGTATCAATAAATAAGATCTATACCAATGCAAATCTCTATAGCACTCCCCCTTTAAATGTAAACAAACATTTATAGACAATATTTGGGAACATGGGAATAATTCTGTCCAAACTTTTTTCTGCTGTTTATTGGGCAAAGTAATGTTTTGGGGTGTTCATGGCGACCTTTCAGGGGATCTTGGTGCATCAAACCACATTAGCCTGGAGTGAATCCACAGGTTCTCATCCTCTGTGGGAACAACAGAAGAACCTCTTTTCCAAAGCAATATGTCCTTAGACACAAATTCTGAAGTCGATACCTTTATAATATACATGCTGCTTTAGCTTCGCAGCCTATACAATGAAATGTCTCTCTGTATGTAGCTCTTTCACAGTCAAAAATTCAAAGAAAACGCAATAATATACATAATCCAGATTCTCTGTGATTCATCTTTATGTAGCTTGTTTTTATCTGATAAGCCTTCTGATCAGCCCCTAAGTTGATCTTCTTATAAACCTCTCTATAATACTGAGGATAGATGTGTCCTGTTAATTCAAATATGCAGTCCCACTCTTGGTGGGAGAAGTAGGTTTGTTCTTCAAACCTTAGCTGTAAAGTCCATAGACAGCTTTGTATTTGGACATGCCACCCCTCGTTCAATTTTATCAGCACTTTTTACAGTGTAAAATCTATTAGATTGTCTTTTGTGTGTAGGATCCAAATGAAGATACAGAATGGAATGAAATATTAAGAAATTTTGGCATTCTTCCTCCAAAAGAAGAACCAAAAGATGAAATTGAAGAGATGGTGCTACGCTTACAGAAGGAGGCAATGGGTACAGTGTGCATTTGGTGGGCTGCATGGAGGGGGTAATGCAGTGAAGGCGGTAAAAATGCACTTCGTGACACAGGAGAGGGGACTAGACATTGTTTAATATAAACTCTACCTGTCCTCTCAAAATTAGGAAAGTGCCACCTAAAATGTTTGATTTGTGTGTTGAAAAGCACATGCCAGTTAATAAAAGTGCTGAAATATATGTATAAGACACAGTGAGATTTCTTTTATCATATGCCTCTACTTTGAAATTACCTTCTCTTTTGTTCATTCAATATAGGATCTTATTCATTAATATTTCCATGTACTTGGAGAAAACCTAAATTTATGGGTTCTATTTAATTTTCCAATCTTTGCTTGCAAGTGTCCTGTCAGTTCTATGAACTTTGAGGAGATCAAAAATGCTAATATTACAATTTTTGTAACATGTAACCATGTTTTAGCTGTTTGCTACAAGTTTGTTAAAGATATTGTTGATTTCTATTACCTAAGCTGTTAGGGTTATCGATTTTTTGTTTGTTTATTTTGTTTTCTAGAAGTTGACTATAAAGTAGAAATCATGTTCAGACCATTAGATGACCTGAATTTTTGTTTTAGTTAACCCGTATGAGAAGATGACCCTTGCACAGTTGAAAGAAGCTGAGGACGAATTTGATGAAGAAGACATAAAAGCTATTGAAATATATAGGTACAGTATTGTGTTACTGTGGGATTGCTACTTGAGAAACTGGCTTGTTAAATCTCACTAAGAACCTGTTTTATGCCATAACTTGATTTTCTCTCGCTCTTTCAAGATTCTGCCTTTGTCTTTTGACAATTTAACTCTGCTGTGTTGTAATGTGGGTATCTTTGGGTTTGTCCTATTTGAAGTGTATCTGATATATTGTGTCTTTAATTTACATCGATCATTAATTCTATAAATGTTCTCTTTTCTTGTATCTGCTGCTTTTGGGCTCCCAAAATGCTATGTTGAGCTGCTGGACAGTGATCTGTAGGCCCTTTAGTCCTTGTTCACTTTCTGCACTTTTTTTTTTTAAATCTGTGCTTCTGGGTTAATAGTAGCAATAGTCCTACTGTTCAATTTTCTGATTCATTCTTTTGGTTGCTTGGATTTGTGAAACCCTCCAGTATGGTCTTCATTTTAATCCATTTTCTTTTCGATTCTCCTGGAGTGTTGCACTTGTAATATGAAAGTTGTAGGATTTTTTTTTCTCTCATGGGCTTGAATATTTGAACGTTTGGTCTCCATTTGGCAGTAATGTTTGGAGAAGTAGTACAGCCTCAGTGGGAGGACTACATCACTCACCATTGGGGAAGACTATATCACTCACCATGGGGAGGACTACATCACTCACCGTGGGAAGGACTACATCAGCATGGGGAGGACTACATCACTCACCGTGGGGTGGACTATGTCACTCACACAGGGAGAACTACATTACCGTGGGGAGGACCACATCACCGTGGGGAGGACTACATCACTCACCGTGGGGTGGCTTTGAGAGTTCATGGCCTTGCCCTGCTTCCAGTTTGCTCTCTCTGCCGTTATGCTTGCAGTTGAGGGTGTGGTCTCTCAACTTCTTGCTCTGGCTGCCGTGCCTATCTGCCGCCACACTTATGCAGCATGATGGACTCTTGTCTCTCTGGAACCATAAGCCATTCGGAGATTATCTAAACTCTTCCTTCCACAAGTTGCCTTGGGCATTGTAGCTACTCTGAATACCAAATATATGAACTTTGAAAATACCATCAGAGAAAGAAATAAATCAGAAAAGGCTGTATAAGTAGAACAGACTGCTAGATGCCAGATCTTGGAATGAACAAGTAGGAGGTAACTGCAAATAGATACAGTATTTATTTGTGCCAATCAAAAAGTTCAGTGGTGCTGGAGAGGTTGCTCAGTGGTTAAGAACACTGACTGATCTTCCAGAGGATCTGGTTTCCTAGCCTGCACATGGAGGCCCACAACCCTCTCCAGTTTCAGGGGAGCTGACCCTTCTTTTGTCTTCCATGGTCTTCCATGAGGACCAGGAATGCAAGTGGTATACAGATAAACATGCAGGCAGAAGACCCATACACATAAATAAAATAAAAATAAATTTTGAAAGTGTTTTGAATTGTATCATGGTAATGGTCCCTTAACGTTTTGCTCCATCTCCTATACTCCCCCGGGCAGCTCTTTCTCAGGCAGTGACTGTGACCTGGGTACTTTAGGACCAGATCACCTTAGGATCCTGAACCTCCTCCCACGTGAGTCAGGGATCTGTGTGGAAGACAGCACAGGACACTTTAGGACTGAGAGCTGGAGATGGATGCACCACTCTCACCTCTCTCTGTTAACATCTACTCTCACAAGGAAGCCGGCAAATGTGATTTTCCTGCAAGTCACCAACGAGGAATCTATAATGATAATTAGGTTCTAGCAAAGCCTCGGGTTAAGATAAAGAAGTGAAAAATATCTTATTCATGAAATTAGAGACAAAAATGCCATCTGGTAGGTAACCAGGTATGAAATAGCAAGTGAATTGAACCCTGTAGCTAAAAGGGAAAAGAAAATCTAAACGTCACCCTGAATGTATCTGCAGTCTGTTTTTGTGGCACATACACTAGACTGTCTTCCTTAATATGCGTTCCTTTCTCTGGACGCGTGTTACGGTGACACAGAAGGTAGGAGCTAAAGCTACTTTTTCCCCCAAACTCCATTGCAATAAGGATAGCAAATGCGTTTCAGGTTCTGCTAACACACTCACAGAATATTTGGGTTCAAAGCTGTATTAATGGAGCTTTAAAACAGTGGTTAAAAAAATAGCCTAAAGCATTCACTTAAGTGGTCTGAGCCTAGAATTTGCGTCATAATTCTGGAGCCATTGTTCTGGCAGCACTTTCTCATCCTCAGATTGTTGCTAGGGAGACTGGTTCCTAGTGCCAGCGGTTGTTATTGTGCCTCTCTGGGTCTCAGAGTAATGTAATATGTGGGCCAACAACTGGAATCCAGATTCCCCAGTTTCTGGATTGCGGCAAAGATGCCTTGGCAGACCAGTTTTGCAGTGTTGTTCTGGGAGTCATTCCTGGTGGCTCAGCCTAGAGCCTGCTCTTTCCGCCTTTTCAGAAAGTCTGCAAAGCACTTAATTTCCCAGATTAAGTTCCTTTCTGCTTAAAATAGCTGGAGGGTTTTCTGTCTATGTACAGAGTCACAGTTGATTTGATTGCTAAGAGAAAGCTGCAGGCCACTCAACAGAGTCTTCCTGGTGGCAGGATTATCCCGTGCTAACCTTTCCAGTGAACTAGGGAGGGAAAATGAGTGGGAAGAGAGAAGCTGATAGTTGTACCACTAAGAAGGTGCCTAGTGGTAGACCTAGCTCTGCATTATTATTCTCTTTGGATTCCATTGTGTTTGACTCCATTGTTACGTAAAGTGAGTCTTCATCTGGCATGCTTCACGTATGAAAAGAGGCCAATGTGTTCCAAAGTGTGCGCAGGAGTTTTTGTTGACATTGCTACAAGTATGATCAGGAGGTGGGTGCCCTTGAACAGTTACCATTCTCAGGGGCAGGGGCAGGGGCAGGGGCAGGGGCAGGGGCAGGGGCAGGGGCAGGGGCAGGGGCA